TTTAGTAAGTGTAAAAGCTTCCTTCACAATGAACAACTGCTGAATCCAGTCATAGTGACTTGCCGGAACAGGAATCAGAGCACTTGACATTATATAAAGATCTTTTGAAAGAAAGAGATTTAAAAAGTGGGTTTTCACCTGGCGTGATCATTGAATAACTCGAAGTTATTCAGGTAAATTGCTAGTTGTTGTCTTGATTACACAAATTACCCCTCTTTCCATTGTGCCTCCTCTCCCCTCTCCTCCCAGCCTCATCTTATTATCCTGTTTTTGCCATGGAGTTGTTGCTCCCGGGCGTTGCATGGTACATTGAATGGAGCGTGCGCACGCTCAGTCTCCCCGCCTGAGGAGAGTCCCGAGTACTGCATCACCGGCCAACCGACCCGAACCCGCCATAAAGTGCACTAAGACCCGAAGGAGGGGCGGAGGGAGGAGAGACCTTTCCGCTGTTCACCATCTGTCTCTCAATCTGATCCGCAATGTCATTGGCCCACTCGATAATTGCGCAATAAATTTCCATTCCGAGAGCTTCCACGTTCCAATAAACCCTAACTCGATTGATCATCATTTTCTCATCACTGCGCCTCATTATCATTGCGTCTCACACGAAGATACATCTCCTACCTACGCCCCCCCCCCACTACCATCCATCCCATTCGAGGTTATTGGTGATATCTCAACCTTGACTCTTTCTGCCTTATTTACTCGCTTGTATGTGCGAGGGAGGCTTGGACTGACAGAGGTGGATGAGGAAACGAACTCATTAGGTTGAGATTACACCCGAGATAGTAGACCACCGACGGACCTGACCCGGTTGTGGGAAAGCTGCCTACATGAAATACTGTGAGCACATGCCGGACCCTTCAGCCGGCGCTTTATTTTATTCGCTCACTCCAAGGAGACGGGGTGGCTTGGGTGGGATAGCCTGGATGGGACGGGATAGGGTGACGGGACGGGATGATGGGGGCTCTCAGAGGTATTTTATGTGGTGGACGGGGTAATCTTGTCTTCCGTGATACAATCAATGGAGTGCCCTGGGAAAAGCCTTAAGAGTCGTGTTGCGCTTGTGCGAAGGGTTGGTGCCTTCTAGAAAGGAAAGGGCAAAGGCATATATCAGGTATTTGAGATTACGATAGGGGAGCCGAAGGGGATGGGAACGGAGAAAGGGAAGTTTACAGCATGAACGAGAGAAGTAAGGAAATAAAGTGTGGGTTTGATCGATGGATAAAGCAAACTGAACACGGGGGCGAGGGGGCCAGTGTTTGAGCTTCTGTTGTTTGTTGAAGAGTGGTTTTGAGGAGGTCAGGGTGTTGTCCTGGAGGTTGAATCGTGAGGCTCTTTAGATGAGGTTACTCAGGCCCTGCGCTTTGCGTGCTGCACTTACCTACCGGTATAGGCCTCATTCCCACCAAATCATAGCCCACTCAGGTATCATAATTCAAAGAGAACGTGGGGAAGGCAATACTGGAGCAGGGTTCCATCCCCGGTAAGTGCATACCATACCATACAGTATTGATTCCCGTATCTGATTAGGCTGACATCCAACTCTTCACTCGTATTCCCCGGGGACGGAGCTGAAAAGGCATGAAGGCAACATTCCCATCCCATGGCGAATGGCGCATGCTATCGTCACGCGGGGTATCTGATACTGATAAGACTTTCTATTCTTGAAGTTCCCGCTTTCTCTCGTCCCATAGGCTGCGACTTATTTTAGCAATTATTAAATTATCACAATAGGGCTGTGCTGGGTGGTAGTGTATGATATCTCTTTGGAAAAGAGGGTAGGCCTTGTACCGTACCATTCGCAATTGCACCCGACTGGTCTGTTATGGTCGTCACGACCCGGACTTCTGTGACGCCGAGAGCTGGATCCTTTCCGGCTGCCTTGGAATACGGTAGGGTGCCGACCTGCCTTACGGTGCTAGTGGCTGGCTGGCCGGCGGCGGGGGCACGGGTTTTCAATAGTGGCAAAGCACAGCCACGCCCAACGGTTTCTGCCATCATACTGTGACTCTATGCGGCGGTATCATACGGTATGATACGGTGCACGTTTTCGGGTGATCAACAGATGTGACACTCTTCTGGATCTGGGTACCCTACTCGGGGGTGGACGAAAATGATGAGAGGAACAGGGGTTGGAGACGTCAAAGCTTTTTGCCCTCTCTGGCATTAGACCTACCAAATTACATCATTTCTTGCCTCTTACAGTAACGGGCACGGGGACTTCAAACCCCTGTCCCTCTCATCACTTTCGTCCCGCCCGAGTAGGTTCTAGACTAGGCTTATGGCTACTTTGTAATCCCCCCGTTCGCCACAGGGTGGCTGGCATGTAAACATTGAACCCGTCACGAAGCTGGAAGGTCACACACACACACCCCCTCCACATCTTCTGGCACTATCATACCAGCATTCGCACTGTACCGTACCTAGGCACGGTGCGGACTCGAATCTTGCTGGCCGGGATTGGGGGTGTGAATCGTAACAATCTGGCGGGCGCGTCATGGCGCTTTTTTGTGCACACCTTCGCCACAGTTCGAGCGCTCTAGCCACAGCCGCCGCTCAAGATGGATGTTAGACCCTCTGACTGGCCAGCGGACTCAGAAGCCAATCGGAGCAGGTTCGCTCGGCTTACCCTTGACCCCCTGTGTGATGTACGGGTGGTTGATGGATAACTCAAGCGCTGGATCGTTCATTGGGGAAGGAACAGGGTACAGTACTGTACAAGTAACGGCGTCTATCGTAGCGGTGGTGATACAATAAGAGCCGTAAGAATTTGGGCCAGCCGGAGTACTAGTACGGTATCGGTATCGGATGTTTGAGGGCATATCCCTTGGTAACTTGTTTTTTGCTCCTTTCCCCTCCCCACCCGCTCCCCTGTTTCCGCCAGGGGACCCATACACCGCCTCAGGAGGATCGCCACAATACCGGTACCGGTGCTCGAGTATACAAGTACGTACTCTCGTGGCACTGTGTTTGTTCCGAGCTGGTGCCTACGTAATTGGCGGCTGCTGGAAGCGTTACTTGTAGAGTGGCCTCGGTGGCGTGGCTGTCCTTATTGCGGTTTTGTCGGGCGATCCGGGGTGACAGGCAGCAGGTGAGGGTCGCTGATCGTTGTAAGCTGAATAGGGGGGGACCTAGGGTAGTGAAACCAAACAGCGGCCGAAACCATCGCGAGATGCGAAACCCGGCGGAAAAATGACCACGAACAATCATTAGACCACTAAGCTTGGGCATTGGAGAATGGTCTTCAAAATTCGCAGAGAGAGTGTGTTTGCCGACGAAATATTGTTTTTCTCCTCCTTCATCCATCCACCCACCACCGTTCCTGTCATGCCTGACCTCATGCCCGGTCTATGTGCAACAGTGTAAGACCTATGTACAGTACGAGTACTCGAGTGCCGGTACGGGTACTATAAGTTACCGGCACTCGTTGTGATACTTGTACTAAGGTAAAGTATCATACAAGTACCAGTAGCACAGTGCTCGGGTGCCAGTACCGGTAGTCGAGCACTCTTACATGACACAAGCCCAGCGCCAACGCTCGTGACTTCTCGGGGAGAGGAAGGCGGTTGCGAACAAGATCTCTTCGCGGGGAATCGGGACAAGCGGGTTCCTCAAAGAAGAAGTCTACCGTACTCAAGTGTACGAGTACCGTACTCGTACTAGTACTCGAGTAATTACCGTACCGGTATTGAAATTGCAGGCTGGAGCGGAAGGGGATTGATCTGCTTCCTTCTCTTCTTGGCCCGCTAGGGGCCCAAGACAAGACTCGACGGCGGTCGCTCCGCTGGCAGTAAAGTACGGTAATATTACTCTTAGTGAAAAAATTAACTTCCCTTTTCAACATAGTCTACCATGTCCCATAATCTATCAACACCAGCCATTTATTGCCCATAACCTATAGGAATCTCGATCAGCAGCTCTTTCGACAGGCTCGTTTAGGCAGCCAGCGGGCTCATCCCCGTGAAGAATATGGGCTCGGGCAGACTTTTTTGTGGTTGCATGCAGAAACTTTGGTTTTCCTCTTCTGTTATTCATCCTCCTTTTGGTGTCGATAGTTGCTGCTACGGTAGAAGTGCACTCTGCGAACATGAGCATGGGCTTATTGTGTGCCCGTTTGAATGGTAATTGATCGAGGATCGGGGGTTCGCGCGCTTCGCATACCTCCTTGTTATGGTACACCCCGGGGGGGCTTCAACCATCTCCTAACTAACTATCATACTCAGCTGCGATTTTGCTCTTGCCACCACTATTTGGCATACGAACTCCTGGACCGAGACCAGGAGAGACCAAGGGATCCATTAAATTTAAGCGGGCGAAGTCCGTAACGCTAGCCCCCCCTCGGAGGTTCTGCCTACCGGGTGCTGTACGAGTACTCGTACACTACCGGTACTACTCGTACACTGTCGCACTTAGAAGAAAGAAAGAAAGAAACGAAAAAAAAAAAAAAAAAAAAAAAAAAAGGAAGTGAAACTGAGACGCCACACCAATATTCTACTGCTTTTCTTTTTTCGTAATTATATAATTATAATACCCTTTCATCTCTTCCTGCCGTTCGCTTTTGGTTCTCCATATCCCAAGCTTTTTGTATACAAAACACCTCCTTTCCCTTTCATCCCCCTTTCTCTTACGGCATTGGCATCACAACGCGTCTGCCGGACTTTGTTATTTCTGCGTAATGCCTCTACAAGCTCCCCCGATATTTGTTACTACAGTGAGTTGACATTCCCTATAGCTTTTTGTACCCTTCCATGTTGTTTTGTTTGTTCTAATTCTTCGTTGCACGGAACAACGAACAAGGCTAACTGTTTACCGTTCAAAAGTCTTTTGACGAAAATGAGACTCTGCCAGAGACAATTTCCCCTATATCACCCTCGACACCAGGATATCTGGGCGATTCTGATGCGATAACCCCTAGAGTACTAACGGGAGATCGCATTGCATTTCTTGGGGTTGATGGCGCCGCTCGTTCTCGATCGTCCTCGCTCGGCGATTCTTCTATGCTTTCCGGCGAAACAGCTCTACCAGATCATCCTTACAATGGTATCGACTTCGTTTCCGTGAGTGAGGCGCTAAACCCCGACCCGGGCACCGAAGCCGATTTCAGGGTTCAAGGCATAAACCCCTTTGCATTTACCGCGGGCCAGCTGAATAAATTCCTGAACCCAAAGTCCCTCGCAGCGTACAAGGCTGTTGGTGGAGTGCGAGGGCTGGAGAAAGGATTACGGACGGATTTAGTTGCTGGGTTAAGTGTGGACGAGGTGACATTGGAGGGGGCAGTGTCTTTCGAGGAGGCAACGAGGCACAAGAAAGGGGGGGGTATCCTTGGAAGCGACAGTACGAGTACACATTCTGCGGCTGATTACTACACGGCGGCAAAAACCGGCGGGGCGACTGGGAATAGTGCTCCCGTGGAACATCAGTTTGAGGACCGCAAGAGGATTTTCAAGGATAATACCTTGCCCGCGAAGGGTGCCAAGAGCATTTGGAGACTTATGTGGGAGCAGTACCAGGACAAAATTTTGATTCTGTTGACTGTTGCGGCTGTCATTTCGCTGGCTTTGGGCTTGTATGAGACGCTTGGCGTCAAGCATCCGGCTGGGTCACCGCCCTCGGTCGACTGGGTGGAGGGCGTTGCTATTGTCGTGGCTATTGTTATCGTGGTTCTGGTTGGATCTTTAAACGACTTTCAGAAGGAACGTCAGTTTGTGAAACTAAACACGAAGGTATGGCGAAATTATTTTTCCCCCCCCGCCTCGTGCCGTTATGAGCTAATAATAGCTCTGTGATACAGAAAGAGGATCGAGTGGTTAAGGCTATTCGGTCTGGAAAATCAGTACAGATATCGGTTCACAATATTATGGTTGGTGATGTATTGCATTTGGAACCCGGCGATATGATTCCTGCCGATGGTATTTTCATTACTGGTCATAGCTTGAAGTGCGACGAGTCCAGTGCTACTGGCGAGAGCGACCAAATGAAGAAGACTCCCGGAGAAGAGGTTATGAGACAGATCGAGGCTGGAACTGCGTCTTCCAAGTTGGATCCTTTCATCATTTCCGGTTCGAAGGTTCTGGAGGGCGTTGGCACTTATGTGGTCACCTCTGTTGGTGTCAATTCCAGTTTTGGCAAGATCATGATGGCTCTTAGACACGAGGCTGAGGCCACACCTCTTCAGGTCAAACTAACCGGACTGGCTGATACTATCGCTTATCTTGGTGGAGGGTTTGCTCCCCGTTCCTCGCATATTGTGTGCGAGTGAGATTTCGTGCTGATATTCTACTTTAGCGCTGCTTGTCTTTTGTTCATTGTTCTGTTCATCAAATTTTTGGCTCATCTCCCCAACAACAATGGTACCCCTGCTGAGAAGGGATCCGAGTTTTTGGATATTCTTATCGTCGCCATTACGCTTATCGTTGTTGCCGTTCCTGAGGGTCTTCCTTTGGCCGTCACCCTTGCCCTCGCCTTCGCCACCACTCGCATGTTGAAGGAGAACAACCTTGTTCGTGTGCTTAGGGCTTGCGAGACCATGGGAAATGCCACCACTATCTGTTCCGATAAGACCGGCACTCTTACACAGAATAAGATGACTGTAGTTGCTGGTACTATTGGATTAGACTCCGGGTTTAGCGCTCGGGCAGAAGACGCTAAGGATGAGAAGGTTCCTAGTATCCCCAAGGTTGTTTCTACATTCTCCAAGTGGACCAAAGACCTCCTCCTCCAGTCAATTGTTATTAACTCGACCGCTTTTGAGGGTGAGGAGGATGGCGTTTTCGCCTTCATCGGATCCAAGACTGAAACCGCGCTTTTGACCTTTGCCCGTGACTTCCTCGGTATGCAAGGCGTTGCGCAGGAACGTGCCAATGCTCAGATAGTGCAGCTCATTCCTTTCGATTCGGCTCGCAAGTGCATGGGTGTTGTTGTTCGCCTTCCGGGTGGTGTTTACAGGCTTTATGTCAAGGGCGCTTCCGAGATTCTTTTGAACAAGGCTACTAGATATATCTCGGACGTTACCAATGAGGGACCTAGCGACATGGAGCTCACTTGTGAGGGTGTCAAGTTTCTCACCGACACTATCAACTTTTATGCTGAACGCTCCCTGAGGACCATTGGATTATTGTACAAGGACTACTCTCAGTGGCCACCAATTGGCGCGAAAGTTATAGAGGACGATGCTTCGATGGCTAGCTTTGACGACATCTTCAACGAAATGACCTTCGTCGGTATCGTTGGTATTCAGGACCCTCTTCGCCCTGGTGTCTCTGAGGCCGTCAAGCAGTGCCAGGGTGCCGGTGTCATCGTCAGGATGGTTACAGGTGATAATGTGATCACTGCGCAGGCTATTGCCGCGGAGTGTGGGATCTTTACTGAAGGCGGGATCATTATGGAGGGGCCCAGCTTCCGCAAGTTGACGGAGGCAGAGATGGATGATATTCTCCCTAGACTCCAGGTTTTGGCTAGAAGCTCGCCTGAGGACAAGCGTATCTTGGTTCGCCGTCTCAAGGAGCTTGGCGAGACTGTTGCTGTGACTGGAGACGGTACTAACGACGGGCCAGCTCTTAAGATGGCCGATATTGGATTCAGTATGGGGATTGCGGGAACCGAAGTCGCCAAGGAGGCCTCCTCCATCATTCTTATGGACGATAACTTTTCTTCTATCGTGAAGGCTATGATGTGGGGTCGCGCCGTCAACGATGCCGTTCGCAAATTTCTCCAATTCCAGCTCACTGTTAACATCACGGCTGTCCTCCTCACTTTTGTCTCTGCCGTTTCTTCCGCCGATGGATCATCGGTTCTCACTGCCGTGCAGCTCCTCTGGGTCAACCTGATTATGGACACCTTCGCTGCTTTGGCCCTCGCCACCGACGCTCCTACTCCCCAGATCCTGAACCGCAAGCCGACTCCCAAGTCCGCCGGTCTCATCTCGTTGAATATGTGGAAGATGATTATCGGACAGGCAATCTTCCAACTCCTCGTCACTTACACCCTCTACTTTGGCGGCATGACGATCCTTGGCTATTCTACTGAGAATGACGTTTCATTGAAGGCCGCAGGAAAAGCCACCCCAAGGGACGAGTTGAACACAATGGTCTTTAACACGTTCGTGTGGATGCAGATCTTCAACGAGTTCAAGTGAGTGATACCCCATCATTAACCAACCCCCCCCCCCCTCAAAACGGTAACTAATAGTACAACAGCAACCGGCGCCTAGACAACAAGTTCAACATCTTCGAGAATGTGCATAAGAACTACTTTTTCATCGTCATCAACGCAATCATGATCGGCGGCCAAGTCCTTATCATTTTCGTCGGTGGAAAGGCCTTCTCCATAGTTCCCATCAACGGCGTCCAATGGGCCATCTGTGTAATCGTCGCTTCCTTTGCCCTCCCTTGGGCAGTCATTGTCCGCTGTGTGCCAGACGAATTCGTCCGCAAGCACTGGTGCAACTTAGTGCGCGTGTTATCCCCGCCGGTTAGAGCCGTTGTGAAGGTCATCCCAAAGAGGAATAAGAGGGCTGATTACCAGAGCGATAAGGAGAAAGGCAAGGCTGGTGAAGCTAAGCCTTGAAGGGGAGGTGGATGATAGGTTTGAATAGTGACATCTCTTTTAACTTGTGTTTTTTCGCCGACTCTAGGCTTATAATGCCCCGCCCCTTTGCCCGCGGCGGTGGCGGGTACTTGGTTCCCCACCCTTGCTATGACACCGATGGAGCTATTCAGAGTCGAGCGTTGATCACCGCTTGCCGTGCACCCCTCTCAAACGCGGACAAAGAAGCTACGCTACACTTTTCGTCCCGCCTGAAACAAAGAAACTTCTTCCCTCCTCTTTCTACAAACTTTTTCTTCTCACCCTCCTTTACCAAACCATTACTTGCCTCACTTCCTCATATCTCTATATATATATTCGTTGAGTTTGGCGTCCTTTTTTTCCCCTTTGAATATCTGATACCATTTATTGCTTATTGGTGTTTCTTTTTTCTGGATTTTACTATGCTTGTCGTGCTTCGTCTTGTCTTGTAATGCATTTTCTTCATTCGCGGGTTACGTCAAATTAGATTTTTCTTGCTATTCATTTTGTTTTGTCTTTCTCATTTTTCATTCTCGGGAGTGGGGTTGGAGTTGGGGTTGGGGCTCACGAACTGTCCATACATATCATAAATGGGTTTTTGAAGTATCATAATAGAACCTGGTGCAAACTAGTAAAAATAACGATGAAAGTTAAAGAGTTTTCATCCTGTGAATGTGCGAGTTAGAAGTTGTATAATTTTAAATGATGTCCTACCTTGAAATAGCACTTGGTGTAACATCATCCCTTTCTCACCCAGTGAGCACAGTGGTTTTTTTTTTTTTTTTTAAATCGTAGAATCTATTTGCTTAAAGGTGCAAACCTCTACTATAAAAGCACAGTCCGGCTAAAGCATGGATCCTAGATACAAGGGCACCTCTGCGATAACCTCCCCACACCCCTGATTTAGTTCTTAGACATGCTGGTCAAAAACCTCTTCCACAGGCCTAGGGGAAAACAAGCCAGCCCAAGTCCCTCTGGTATGGGACCAACTGCACATCCGCTCCCATGAAAGCTCCTTCTGCATAAAACAAAAAAAGCACAAAACAGGACCAGCAGGAGCCAACAAGAAAACCCACACCGTATTCTCTTGAGAAAGGAAACACAAAAGAAACCCAACAAAGGAAACCACCTTGATCAATTATGTTCCCCATTTTTCAACTGGTCTAGCCTTGACTAGCAGCTAGGAATATAGGGGAGAACCATGATGCATTTGCTTCGTGTGATGAAGGCAACCGACCTGAACATGCCGACCCCCAGTGGAGTGATTGCTTATGGCTGGTTGGACAGGGGCATGACTGGAGGCAGTGCAATACCAACCACGAGTTGCCGAGTAGTCCAGACATTGGTAAAGTAGTAAACCCGACCGAGTAAAAGAACCCAGAGGGGCAGAGGAGTAGTCGCAACCTCACACAGCTTAGCCGAGATGGCCACCATAGAGAGAGGGGGAGGACAGGAACCACAATCTGGCAGAGGGACCCAAAGTCCCACACCAGAGGGGGTGAAAATTTCGTTTAGCCTCATGACGAGGTTTGGTGTCCAGACTTATGAAGCTTCCAAAGTTCAGCACTGGAGAGGGGATCATGAGGTGGTAGAGCGTGGTGTTGATGACCACCACCACCTTCCCAAACGGGAAGGTGAAAAGCGGGGTCAGGAAAATAGCGGAAGAGAAGCTTGCAGTGAGCACAGTAGTCCAGTAACTAACTTATACTATCCCCATCATGTCCTGCCCCTCCGCACCTGTGACGCATTCACCCACACCTCATTGCAGATTTACTAGAGCCTCTACGTTACCCCAACTAGAAATACCAAAATTACTACTAGCATGCATATAAGGCACCTATTAGCAATGTCCTATTCTCCCTTGAAAGCAACACGGCGGAATCTAGTCTGCTACTAGTTTTTCTTTCTCATCTAGTAATAATAAGTGTTAATATGGCATACCGTCACGTTTTATCTCGTGCTAGCCGTTTTGTTCAGAATATCTTTGCCGGGGGGGGGGGTGAGGTGTCCTTCCTCCGGTGGGAAGTTTGCACCATGATGTCGGTAGCACGACTTGGGTATTTCTGAGCTCCCGGGTGTATCGGAAGTCACACTATTGGAGAATAGCAATATGGAGCACTTTCAATTGCACCACTGCCAATATGATCGGGTTATTGCTCCTCCTGTTAAGCGGTGTTTATCAAAATGGGCTTCTGGGGGATTCGGCACTCTCACTACCGCAGCGGACAAGCCCTCGTATTCGGACCCGGCTCGATTCCCATTTTCCATTCCTTTCTTCCTGCGGCGGCTGAGCGATGAGACCCCGGCATTTTTGCGGGAGAAACTGAGGGGAACAGCCCAAAAAGCCCTGTACTAGAAATTTGGGTAATTATCGGATGATCATGCCGTCTCACTCGTGGTCCTGAGAAAAATATTCCCGGGCAGAGGCCAGAGTGACTGTCACTCAATGGGTTTCAAAAAACCATCCAAAGATATTTGGCTCCCTTGAATCACCACACCCAACTACCCCCCGAGATCCATCCAACTTAAGCCCCCCGAGCGAGCCCTTGCGGGGTATGATTCTTCCCTATCTGGGTACAGTACCTCACCCGACCCGTGCCCTTGGGTTCGAGCCGGCTAGATCTCCGGGTTCCCGAACATAGCCCATGTAAAAGTAGCTCGGGCCGGGTCTGAAACAAGCGACCTTGGCAAGGCTGGCGGGAGGGGCGGAAGAACTACAGTATGATACACCCAAGACTCCCGGATATCGTACGATATGCAAAACGAGCACTGCACCGCAAGCATCCACTCTAGCATTTTGTGGCGTCTCAATCCCCCACTTATTCTGTACAGGTATTTGGTAGCCTGGGTGCGACTTGGTGTCTCGAGTCCCACCCCAGACCAGCCGTTAGTCTACTAGTGAAGGTAGATCGCGGGTTCGTGTAACGCGGGAGGGAGAAAGTCGGGATTTCTTCGGAGAAGGGAGGGTGTGTTCCTCCCGTGAGGTACCGCACCTACGTGGTGCAAGGGGAGAGAGAAGCCATACCTATCCAAACCACTTCCGCGTGCCCAAGGCCCGACATCAAGATACCCCTCCTCGAAAGGATACCTTTCCGCCTCCAACATCAAACCACCAATCCCAGTCCCCACTATGGCAAGACATGTGTGCCAATTGCTTGAGTACAGTACCATTTGTACCGAATAAAAAAAGATCAAAGATCGACAACTAAAGAAAACTCAAACTTTTGGTTGTAATTGGTGATCAAACACCACCGCAATCTATTATCCTCTAGGCACTGAATATAAAAAATATATATTGAACAAGAAGGATCATCTTCCTAAACAGAACCTGTATAATGAGGGGTTTTCTCATTATTTTCCCGAAATTTTTATTTTTATTTTTTTATTTTTCTTTCCCTCTTTTTTTAAGAGGGAGCCAGAATTGCTCAAAAATCGAAACACTGACTATTTTTTGGCTTCTTTTGGATAACTGACATACCGGTAGTAAACTAACAGATAGCTGTCAATACCTTTTAGTTCTAAAACAGACGCTGTCGTAGCGCAACTTTGCTCGGTTTTCTTATTTGGCTCAAATAGTACTTGTATGATACCAGCACAGTACGATGCACAAGTCTTGCAGTGCCGGCGTGGGAGGTCTGATGCGCCTTCCCTCAGTTGGATGGTGTTTTGACCAAGCTGTGTCTTGTGGAAGTAATTGCTCCGTGACCTGACCAATAAACCTATAGATGGAGGGTGGAAAATTGACTTGGATCCATATGTAGTGAAGAGACCGACACAGATGAAGCAAAGGGGGTGAAGGTGAACCTGATTTAGATTACCATGGACTACTATGATATCTTAATCATTGTTGTCAAAGGGTGGTTGAGCTTGTCTAACTAAGAAAGAAGGCTCCCAACTTAAGTACAGGAACCTCTGCATGCCAAAGCATGTTCAAAGACAGGAAATTTCATGGGGGCAAAACCCTCATAGCACTCTACACCAGTGTTACACTATACCCCACCCCATCCCCGCCTGCTGCGTCCCTCGAAAAAGTAAAATTTAAAACCCCCCCCACACCCGAGGTTGCCACTCACGGTATCTCACTCGAGAAAACAGGTACAAAGCAGAAGGTGTGCAGACGCCGGCGGGTGCCACGGGACTTGTCGGGAAGAGAGTAGAAAGTAAGTATGCAGGCACGAGTGTGTTTGGGTCTGCTATCGTACACCCAGTCAGGGGTTGTGGGTGTGTGCTCGTATAGTACCGTATTGTAGAGTCCTTTCAGGCAAGGGAGAGGAAGTGAGGTAATCCAACCTGCTTCACTTCGGTAAATGTTGCAGTGGCTAGGTGTTTGAAAGTCTTCTCTGTTTCACCATGAACACCACTACCGCAAGCGAAGAATAAATGAAGAATTTAAGTAAACTGTTTGAATCAAACTATTCTAAAGTAGGATATCACTATCGGCATGCTTGGTGTGTGAACCACTTGCCATAGCACAACATAGCGTACGGAACTCTAACTGCAGTGGATCAACTTAATTTCAGTAATATAGTCAAACCCACAGCGATAGCTTCAAACCCCACTAGCAGCCCTAGTGGGGTTGCCCCCAACACTATCTTCGCATCCGTGACTATCCCTACCGCCACCCATTGTTGCATTGTTGCTCTCGATTGAGCCTCTGTGATCCAACGTCCCCTGACCTTCCCCTGCACCTGCGATTGGGTCCTGACTTCCGGGACGGGTTCTGTCAAACGTTGAGAGCGGGTAGAGGCTAAAATTGTGGGATTTCTTGGGGGGCCGCGTGCGATCGGGGGTCTTGACGTAGCTACTGTAATCTTCTGATTTATTGGTGCCTAGAATCTGCGGGAAGTAGTGGTGGAAGAGCGGACGCAGTGCAGGGACGGAGGCGGTAGCGATGCCAATGTCGGTTTCGATGGCGCCCCAGAAAAATGCTAAAGCTCCATACCCTGTGACTGGATGTCAGCTTTGCGTGGAGTCGAAGGGAAGGGCGAAGTATGATACAAGTAACATCGTAGGTCTGAAACACTGTTTTGTGGAGGAATACGGTGCGGCAGACTCCTGCTACACAGACTCTGTAACAATTCTGTCAGTTGCCTAGCCTTCGCAAGCGGAATTTGGGGAGCACAAACAATGCTGCGAATCCAAACAGGAAGACTAATATAATCTTTTGTCGGAACGGCAGCCAGACTTTCATCAGCATGGGCGCAGGCAGAAACGCGACCAAGAAGTCAGCAAAGGTGTTGATCACCGACGCCGATACTAGCAGAGCACTGTCGTTGAGGCATTTCGATTTTACGCTGTGGTCCCAGTAGCCATAAACAGGACTATTACCGAATTAGTTTATCGCACCAGCTCGCTGAAGTAGTATACTTAGCATGATGGATGAAAACTACCTGCAGGTAAGAATAATAGCTATTCCAACACTAGACGTAAAACAGATAATAAAAAATAAAGATATATATACCGAATATCGGAAACCTTTGTTAGGGGCAATTCGCAGATACGAGAGCAGTATTGAAGACTTGATGAGGCCAGAGTTGGCAGTAAACATGATCTGACAGAGCCAACTGTACTGTTCTAATGTCAGAATTACCTGTTTCTATAGGAGCCCTTAGGTAGAGAGTGAGGAAAGCTTACCAGTCTTGAATCCACATACCACTCTGGCCT